AAAGCAAAGTGGTGAGCGCCTCCTTCCCGCCGACTCCTCGACCGATCCATTGAAACGACCCGCACAACAATATAAATACTCTATCGACTAAATCCATAATTTATAATTATGAATTTTAGTCGATAGAATATTTCTATTATCCAAAATATTATTTAAAAAACTTGAAATTTGTTGTAAATACTTTATTGGATAACAAATTACCTGTTAGTCTTTATTCTTAAAACTATAATATATATCTCAATCTTTTATATAAAAAATAAAATATCAACAGAAATGAAATTCATTGATGACGAGATGAGTGTAGCTCACATTTTTATATCTCAGTAACGGCCGATTGAATTTTAATTAGCCCAAATCGATTACTAAGGATTAAATTATGTTATTAAATAAAATTGGTTTTGGTTTTTCTCTTCATACTCTACGAACAAAAATATAACATAAAGTCGAAATTGATAAATTTTAAGAAATGTCATCATCATCAGATAACCCATCTCTCTGAATGTTGACATCAGAAGACAGGATTTTCTTGACTAAAAGATATGTTTCTGTCCTTTTTTCTCATTCTCTGGCCTTTTTTTCTTACTAATTGTGCCGTTTATTAGTGCAAATGTGAACAAGTGCTGGAATATAACCGCATGCGATAAATCATTATTCAAATCGTTGTATTATCGACTCTGCGGAGGATCAATATATAATCATATTATCGATTGAATGTGTTTGCAAATTAATTCAGTATATTAAAAATAAATAAACAATGTATGAGTGCAAATTCCTTAGGAAAGTATAGAGGGGAACAAAATATTGAGAGCAGTGAGATTTGAAAAGAAGGTTATATACATTGAGAACATCTATTTAGAATAAAACACAGATATTGTATGTCATTTTTTTTTTATTAATTTATATCGTTTTAAGAAACTAATAGTATTTCTTTTATATTGCATTTTAGAAAATACAGAACATCTTAGCAATATTACAGCAACAATGTAACATTTCAGCTTACAAAATTCAGAAGTGAGCAATACTAATTAGTACTAATTTTATTTTTAACATAACTTTATTAATAAAGTTATAAGATTAATTTTTACATCAGAAAAGAGTATAGGCAATTCTCTACACAGAAAAATTTTGTATGTCTAATAATATAAGTCTAAGATAAATACTTATATTTTTAACCATACACTGTCAAACTTACTTGTAACAGTTTAAAGTAGTTATAGCTAAGTTTTCTTATTTAATAAATTAATAATCAAATAATAATCAATAATCAATTATCTTTTCTTCCCCACGAAAAATTTTTCTTGCTAAAAATATCATCTACAAGGTTTAAATCTGGAATCTTTCGATTATTTGTAACAAATGTTTCTATCTATACATTGAATTGTTTAGTAATATTAATTAGTAATTATTTAAATTGATTAATATGTAATATAAATTAATTTTTAACTTTAATTATAATGATGTCATCATCTACATTAATTTAATATGTAAGATAAAAGAAGAATTGATTTATTCCTTATTAATGTATTGTTGCATATCTTATGTTATCTGAGATTTATATTAATTCTTATATTTAATAAGTAAAAAATGCAGAATGTTACTACAAATTTCTATTGAGACACATTTGAAAAAAAATTACTTTGAGACTTATAACATCTATGAAATTTGTTTTTTATTTCTAGATTGGTTGCATTAGTTTAAAAGGTATATAGTGAAGCATTTTCTGTTCTCGTCAGTGACATTGTTTCTTATTCCAGTGCAACAGAACTTAGTATACAAGTTTACTGAACTGGTTAGATCTAGAATCAGCAAGCATTAGTGTGTACTAATTCAGCTCAAAAAAACAAGATCTTGAAGTAGTCACAAAAATCCACGCATAATATTTAAATAACAAGTATATAAAAATAAGAATTTCTCTTAACCTTTACAATATTTACATTTCATTACATAGCATAAAATGATATACAAATCACAATTTATTAATTAAAAATCATAACTATTAAATATTAAATTAAATAATATAAATAAAAAATTTTAAAAATTAAAATTAACATTAAAAAAATATAAATATTTACAAAAATATTTCATACGATTATCTTCAATTAAGAATATTTCTAATGGTGAAATTGGATTTATATTTTCATCTTCATCAAATAAATCTAATATTTCCGTGATGAATA